CCGTGGAACCGAGCTCCAGCAGGAGGGGGGATGTCACCCAGCTCAGCCCAGGGCAGCGCCAGGGCGGACTGGTTGGGAGCACTGCAGGAAGAGGCCAGGCAAGAGAAGGAAGGCAAAGGCAGTGTTGTGTACGTTGCACGTAGCTGAGAAGGCATCGGGACCCCATGGCTCTGAAGCACAAGCAGGTGCGTGTGACAAATATAATGGGGGGGTGCTTGGGTTTGATCTTCAATAATTAGGGAGTCAAAGAGCGGCAGCCTTATGGGATGTAAGAAATAGCTTTCCGCTTAGAAAGGCAGGCAGTGGAAAGGCTGACAGCCGCTAGCCATTAAGGCTTAGTGGAGGTCAGTAATTTCACTACTAGAAAATGGATGCTGAGTGAGGAGAATGCTGTAAAGCTGGTCTGCAAGGTGAGGGATGCTGGGGCACAGGGGAGAGCGACTTGCCCCTGTCTGGACTCTATCCATGATCAAGTGTGAATAGGGGCAAGGAGACCGCGTTCCGCCATTCCTTGAGTAAGCACCTTCACTTCAAACGCTCTCCTCTGGTTTGAAATAACACAAATCCCATGCCAGGTGCTAGACGCCGGGGTCATACTGCTGACACAGCCAGAGAAAATTCAGGGGTTTGGGGGGGAGTGACATAAAAAAGGAGGAAGGACGTAAGGGCAGTATGAGGTTCCTCAGAAATCTGCTCCTCACTGCACAGACACCCTGTTACAGGACAACTGTTGTTATTTCTCCTCAAAATGGCTTTTATTTCAGAGCAATATTTGGCAAGGAACCCAGCCTGTTGTGTGCTCTCATTGTACAATCTGCTCCTACTTTTGCTCCCAATCCTCTTTTTTTAGTAAAAGAATTTCAAAGGCATTTTTGCCATACATGTCCATTTGCACCTATCCTGCCCATTACTCAGTCCAGTGTACATGTTTGCTGATATCCCATAAGGGTTCCTTCAGAGACAGGTCAGGTCAAAAACTTTCACCATTTTAAACAGGTGCTTAAGTATTCCTGCCTCTTACTATTAACCATGCCATCACATTTCGCTGGGGACTTAGACAGAGCTGTGCGTGAGCAGTTCCTAACCTACCTTGTTAAATCTCAGATGCTATCATTATATTTCTCCTCTCCTCTTTCCCTCCCCTCCCATACTAATGAAAAAGGCCAGTCTTTAAAATAGAAATTAAATTCATCCATCCACAAGACAATGCTGGGCTTAAATCCAACAGCATGTGAGGATCCTACTCTTAAAGCTGAACCTTACTCGCTAGCTACACTGGCTTTGCTCTGTTTGGAGATCGTTGGGATAACATAATGGAGATCCTTAAAGGCAGTTTGAACCTCAGTGTGAAAAAGCTCACAAGCTGTTCCTGAGGTAATGCATCTCTCAATGTCACTTGGAATCTCCCAGTGAGTGTAAGGAAGTTAATGCTCCCCAAACTACTGCAGAGCAATGGAATTTGTAGTCTCAAACATCCTCTGCATTGCTTATTTTGTGTCTAGGATAAACCAGAGAGCGGTAACAAAAACGCAGACTGGCATAACTTTTAGTTTAGCTTGCTGGGGAGAGGCAGCTTAGTTAATAGGCTGCGAGAAAGGAAAAACGCTTCACGAAGCCAAAGTTTCTAACTGAAGTATGCTCTACACAGTTCTGTACCAGTTCAGCTGTGCCAGTATTATTGTAACTAAAATAACCGTACAGGTGACATAGGTGCCTCGGTATAGCAATGCCCTATACTGACATCATTCTTTTCCCCAAATAGGAAAAACTATTTTCATAGCCAGACAAGCATCCTCAGCAGGAGTCAGTACAACTTAACCAAACCGTGGCAATTAAGGCAATGCCAACTGTTGCATGTAGGCAACGTTGTAAAAGAACAAGATTTTCAGGAACCCAAAATCTGATCGAAAGAAAAAGGATTTTTCTCTGCAACGCTGTCCCAGTAATCTTCAGAGCGGAGTGCTTACAGTCTGGGTATCAAGCTACGGTATCAACCTCAGCAGATGCCTCTGGTTGTATGAGACAAGACTTAAAGCCCTCTGTCTTCCAGACAGGAGGCATAACACAAAGGCTACTTAGCACACCCTGCAAAGCAGGCTAAAGAGGACTAAAGGGGTCTCACTGCAAGATGAAAACATTCACCTTTAAGCTTGGGTCACCTGGATTTCAAAGCAGATGAGCCAAGCTCACTTCAGTGTGAGACCTGGCTTCCTTAATTACCTATGTGCAAGACAGCAAAGTGACACAGTTTTGCAAGGACTTGGTTGTGAAATAAGTTGGCATGCACTGAAATGCACTAACTTCAGTGGTAGTTACAGCTCTCTGCTCCTTTCTAGGACTGCGAGAACACCATGAGGCTGGTTTTCTCTGCCTCAGACCTCTCTGAAGGCCATCACCATGGGCCTAAGAGCACAGAGTAAATCACTGTCAAAGGCTAGGGTGAGGGACTAGCCAAGAAACTAAGCTTCCAACTACTATTCTTCCAACTACTATTCTAATCCCTAGAGTCTTTTCTTCACCAGTGCCCAGACCTCAAAGTAGCAGTAAGCATTCCCTTGGGCCAACAATGGAAGGAAATAATCAATGTCAAGGAAATTGGGAATAGGAGAAAAAAGAAAAGGCGACAATGTTCAAAGCAATAATGCAAGTCTAATGTTTATAATGTACGTGCATGCAGGTGTGCACGAGGGCCATCCAGGGGTACAAGAGGAAAACACAGGTTTGCTAAGGCCCTGACCTCGTTTTCCTACTATCACAGTTTAACCTATTTCTTCCTCTCAGTGGGAGACAATAAAACCTCAGCCCAATCCATCACCAATCGGGGAAGATACAACAGGTGAATTAAAAACAGAAAGCAGATGGGGCACTGTCTCTGCCGGGCCCCAGCTGTCATGTCTGCGAGCTGTCTAGCCTTTATGCTGCTGCTGCTGTCTCTGGAGCCAGCCCCATCGCACCTTCCACCCCTGGGCTGCTAATGACACCGGGAACAGAGCCAGAGCCTGCTCCCTCCAGCAGGGCTCTGCAAGAGTTCTGTTCATTGCTCTTGAGCAGGTGGAAATGGCCAGTCCTCCCCCTCTTTGGGACAGGAGGGTCAGGGGACCCCTTTGCAAGGGACAAAATGCTTGGAAATGCTGATGGATTTGACCAGTAGACGTTTCCTACCTGGGCACCAAGCACTGAATTACGTGCTCTCTTTTTCTGTTCTTACTGCACTCATCAAGGATGCTGCCCGGCCCCTGCTTGCCCCAGCTATTCTAGCTTTGCCCCACACACTGTATCAGAGCTCCCAGGAAAATGAAAAGGAGAACAACTGTACAAAAGCAATGGGAGTCTAGCCTGCCTGGTAAGAATCATGCATTCCTCTAAGGAATCAAGACAAAGCTTAAACAAGAGACCTTCAGACAAACTGATTGAAAAGTACTGAAGAGCACAGAAATGGTAAGCTGGGGGACCTTTGGCTAATAACTATTAAGTATTTTTGCTTCATTTCCTAATAAACAAGGCAAAGCAATTACAGTAATTAAAGATTTAAGATAAGAGCACTTTATATTTGGGGGGCCCAGCATATCAATTATATAGTTATCATGTTGTTCTCCCTCCTAATGAGACAATCTAGCACTATAATTTTGCAGAATTAAAAGCATAATTAAAGGGGGCAGGAGAAGAAGGGCCGTTCACCAAAACCAATTAGGAGGGTTCCCTCTCCTCTGCGGCTCCTGCGCGCATGCACAGTGCAGATGCATTCCCCAAACACCTTTTCATTTCCAAGCGATAACCCCTGAACATGGCTGTTGGACAGCTGCAATGATAAACCCAGACTTTAATTACAGGCGGGTTTTATGAGAAGAGCTGGTGACTGTTTTGTCTCCCTACTTTCTAGCTCTCAGTTGCTGAATGTACCAGCATCTGCTGGAAGGCAAGGGGGGAAACAGCTTATCTACTCAGGAGCAAGAAACACATAAAACATAAGAAAAGCAATTACATGCCTTCGGTTTCCACTCCTCTGTTTTTATAGGGCTTGTCTTAGAATCTGAGTGATTTTATGCATCAGAGGAAGATGACAATCAAAATGAGTTGCAATGATATGCATGGGAGGCTGAGACACAGTGCCTTTCGGTATTTATTTTCCTGTAGTTACAGGTCTTCTAAACATCATATTTTTTCAGAGGGATGAGAGAACCCAAAATTTTGCAGCTGAATATTATGGGCACTGAGACTATACATGAGAGCCCAAGTGACAGTTACCAGAATGCAACTCAAGACAATGCCTTCTCCTCTTCCTTTAACCTGCATGATTCCAGGATGAACACATACGGTACTGAGAAAGACAGGATCAAAATATGTAAGTATTGAGGTGAGCCCCAGGATCTGAGTGACTCTTTGCCTACTGCAACTCCATTACTTCTACTTTTAGTCTACAGAGGCACTCAGGATCAGTGAGACACGGCTATGCTCTTTGACGCTTGTAATCAAGAACTTGTAACAACCACCACTGTTGCTACCTCCTTCCCAAACTTTGTTCCCCAACATTGAATTATCCAGTTTATATTACATCAGAATCTGGGGACAACTGAAAGCGAAAGGCAGAACTTTGGACCCATACCCCTCTGTGTATTTTCAGACGGCTACGTAAAAGGCCCACAGATGACTTCTTGGTCATGCAATTCATTGGCCTCACCAGGCACAAAGATACAGAATGCTGGACAGAGGGTGAAATACAATTTACAGTCTGCAAATACAGACGCCATTAGTCCAAACACAAGGTCCGTGGTGCAAGGCCCCATAGAGCCCTACTCACCCCAAAGAGGAGTAAGTAAGTAGAAAAGAGGACCCAGTGACTCTTTCTGAGCTATAGTGTGACATTTGCACTTTAATTTCGGGCCCTGGAGGTGACTCCATTGGGCAGCCTGGGCAGTATTGGCCCACAAAGGCTGGTCACCTGCTGTCCAGTTTTCTCTGTCTTTGCTCTTGCAATGCAGCACTCCCTGGCAGGAAAGTACCTTCTTTTCATGATACTGATATGGAGATCCTCCTCCTGCTTTACTTCAGGGTGTTGACCATTGCTCTTATCACTCTCTTCGCTGTCGTCACTATGTGAGAAAATTGAGGTCAGCTCTTTCTTCGGGATCCTGGTTGGAGGTAAGGGGATCGTCCTCTTCTCTGCCAGACGACCCCGGTTCTGGCACAGGATGGAATTAGTTGGAACAGGAAAGTGCAGGAGGAAAAGAGAAGAAAACAAGAATTTGGTTAGGCAACCCAGAACCAAGCAGCTCCTCTCAAATGGCTGCCCTGCGAAGGCAATGCTGTTAGTCATTGCAGGCTGCAGACTGGTACGTTGGGTGGGCAAAGGTTATGTTCGCTTTGCAAAAGACTTTTCAGCAGAGGCATATCTATATCTAGTTCTTCCAGTTCCAATATTCAAGTCATGCGCTTCCAGCCTTTCCCCACCTCTTCATTCCTAGCTTGCGTCTCATCAACGCCAATAGGAAAGGAAGATGGCAGCAGAATTAGAATCATAGAATGGTCTGGGTTGGACGGGACCTCTAAAGGTCGTCTAGGCCAACCCTCTTGCAATAAGCTGGGACACCTTCAACTGGATCAGGTTGCTCAAAGCCCCGTCGTCCAGCCTGTCCTTGAACGTTTCCAGGGATGGGGCATCTACCACCTCTCTGGGCAACCTGTGCCAGTGTTTTAGCACCCTCATCATAAAAAATTTCTTCCTTATAACTAGTCTGAATCTACCTTCTTTTAGTTTAAACCCATCACCCCTTGTCCTGTTGCTACAGGCCCTAATAAAAAGTCTGTTCCCATCTTTCTTATAAGCCCCCTTTAAGTACTGGAAGGCCGCGATAAGGTCTCCCCAGAGCCTTCTCTTCTCCGGGCTGAACAACCCCAACTCTCTCAGCCTTTCCTTTTCAGGCACCAGTCTCTCTCTCCAGAATATTTCCCACCAAATGTTGCAGATTAACATAGCAGAACAGGTTAAATTAAATCTTTGCCAGTAGCCCAGAGAAGGCCTTTGACCACAAAAGGAAAACTGCCTGTGCCAGCCAGCAGCAGGTTTGACTCTCACACCAGTCCACATCAATTTCCACTTGAATTACTGAGCCTGCTTTTCACCGTTCATTTGCATGTTTCGATGAAGCCAGCAGGTCTTGCCTTGTGCAGGCTTTCCCTAGGTGGTCCTGGCAGTGTACTGCCCTCAACAATTCACTTCTGACAAGACCCAAATAAACAGGAGGAAAATTCCCAGGAGGCAAAAGCTGCTTTTTCACCGCATGTGTATTTGTGTACAGAACCTAGCACAACATGACCCTGGTCGCAACCCATCTTCTGCATTATAGATTACTCCGTCCCTGCACCCCTTGTGCCTGATCCACAAGAAGGTATGAGACTAGTGCAGCCTAAACTGGAGTGTGCTGGGGTTTTAGCTCTCACTGTGATAGACCATGTTTCTAGCACTTGAGGTGTTCAGCTCAATCTGTGGTTGACCAAGACAGAGAGCCATAATACAAGCACTGACAGTGGAAGATGTACATTGGAAACCCAGGGAGACTGTAATGTCATTGCCCCACCGAATTTAAAGTTTTAGCAAACAAAATCATGAAACTGGGAAGGGAACCACAGCGATGGGAAATGAAGCACAGTTTCACACACATTCTTTGTACGGGTCTGTAGGCATACTTCCTTCAACAGGACAAGTCATAGAAAAGAGATGTGTTTTTAGCAAGGACTGGAACAAAACGAAGAAAGGTGTATGAAACAGGTCGAGTAAGTGCAGAGTAACATTTAACTAATAACAGTTTCTCTGAAACATTGACTCCAACTTTCCAAATAAACCTGGCAAAATGAAAACGTCCTGGGAAAGCCAGTCAGGCTCCCTGCAGGGGAGAACGGAGCAAGATTAAGTGATAGAAGAGCCCATGTTTTTTTTTTAATTAATCAAATTAAGAACTTTCCACAAATACAAAACAAAACCTTCTTGTTTACTTCTGTCAATAAATTCCAGTTGTGGTCATTAAGGGGAGCCGTAATCGTTGTGATAATTAGCTAAATCCACCTGGAAGGCATCACCCCAAGGAGGCACATTAGCTTTCGCACTGATGCACTTCCCAGCCAAGAACACAGCTGTCTGTGAACAGCTGACACCCAAGGGAGAGAAGACCAGTGGGCCAAACTGGCTTAAAAATGGGAAAATGCATGTATACAAGGAAAAAGACACATGCTTTCTTCTTGAGAGAGACGCAAAGAAGAAAAACGCACCCTTGGCTAGCAACAGGTGAATGCTCCTACATCTCCAAGTATCCCAAGTACAAAACTTGGATGAAGCTGCAGCAGGCTTTGTGGTGAGTCCAAATGCCCAGACTCAGACAGAGGAGAATATCCGTACTGTGAATATTACTGGGGACCCTCAGAGACCCACCTGCACAAGGTGAACTGCGCTGGTGTGAGGGGCCAACCGCACCTACGTGACAAACAGCAAACGCTTTCCCTCATCCCTGCGGGCTCCCCTACGCAGTAGCAGAGATCCACTCGCATGGCCCTTTGCAAAGAGATTTCTCACTGTCTGTTCCCTGGAGGAACACGCGATACAAATTGTGCGTCTCCTGCCCTTAAATATACACTAGGTGCATTTCCACCCCTGCCCCCTTTTCTGTGCGCAGAGCTTACCCTCTGTCTAAAGCCATCTTAGTAACTCCAGCTTGCACAGTGTCAAAAGGCCAGGAGGGAGAAGAGGAGAGAAAGGGAAAAGTGAGGGGAAGGCAAGGAAAGGCAAGGATGGCAGTATTTGCACCAGATTTCTGTCATGCTGAAAAGCTAGGACTTGACATCAGCATGAGCTTTATCTGCCAAAGCTTTATATATTTTTCTGAAGTTGCAATTTATCATAACAATTAAAGGGGGAGGGGAGGGAGGGTGTGCAAATTTCCGCTTCAAAATAATTGCAATTCACTCTCTGCTGTGACTTCACAGGCTAAAGAGAACGGCACTGATCAGATACTAAAAATCATTTTATGGCCATTATGGTACCTTCGAGCAGTTACCAGGTCTCAGTGACTGCCCAGGGACTCATCAGCCCTAACAAGAGCGAGAGTGCAGCGAAAAGGGAGGCACTAAACCTAGAGAAACAGCCCACCAGACCAGCAACGCAGGTTCCCCCTCTCCTCTGCTCCTCAGAACGCTTATTCTTTGCCTTTCCGTAAATTGTATCCTTACACCTAAAGCTGCTGCATATATATACACCTATATATATACACACATATATATACTTCTCTATATGTAATACACAAATATGTACATGCGTACCTATATAGATATCACCTAACACACAGAGACCTTCAAAGACAAACGAATGAACATGAATGGAAAAGAGAACCCACACCCGCACCATCTCTGGTCACAGCTGACCTGCACTACGTTTGTTCTGACCAGGGGCCAGACATGGACAACAGCAGAACCAGGGCCACACTGGCTCCAGTGCCCTTGTGAACACCCGCGTTCCGGCACTAGCAATGCATTTTCTAAAGTTGTGTTTACTTTGTATTTTTGCCATTAGGTTTGGGGCATTTTATTTATTTATTATGTTTCTCCATTCCCAGAAAATTAAAATAGACTGAGCCAATCAATTTTGCCTTTTATGTTCATCTATAGTCAGTTTTGAATCAATTGCACTTTCTTAATCTGTTTAGAGGCATTCACCAGTGGATACGCATTACTTTTAAATTAAGCACAAAGGTATCCAGAAGCCTGGTCCAGAACCTGCTACAATCAATTGTCTTTCCATTGACTTGAAAGGGCACTGGTCCAAGCTGCAAATAAAAAGCACTCATTTGTGAGATGCATTCCATCCAAGGAATCATTCCTGTGACTCTGGCTTTTGCTAAAGTTGTACAGAGAGCTTATGGGACAGGAATGTACCTACAGAGCTGAGCAGTATATTGAGATACCTACAGTCACTCAGGTTCAGGGTTATCAACCATCACTTGGCATGCAGTGGCAGGTAGTAAAGTATGCACTTAGCAGAGCGGTGTTATGTGCAGGAATACACCCAGAGACTGCAGTGGCATCGTTATATATGGGGAGGTACATTAGGATTTATAGATATTTGATGTAAGCCTCATAATCTCACATTAAAAAAGCTTGTATTTGTGTGACAGTGTCATTACAGAGTGATCTCATACATTAATGGGACGCTGCTGTTGAACCATGAACCCTATAAGAAGGTTTGACTATTTTAAAACTGCCTCCCAATTTGTTGATATTCATTGGGAGTCTGATGCTTGGGAAAACAACCCAATCAATAGTCACCTACTGCCAGAGAGCCAGGCACCTTGGGACTCCAGCTCCCCCCTGTTAAACAACTCCAGTTTTACACACATGAAGAAAAGGGGAAGGTGTGCTTTGCCAGCTGGCTTGCTTAAACTAGTACGGCTGTTTTGGCCAACGGGTCAGAAGGGGCATTTTCTATAGCTGCAGAGCCTGCAGCTGTTAGTACAGGTGCAGTACCCCCAGCAAAAAAGACGAAGCATACGTAGTGGCAAATATGTCTTGTAGCTCAGTCCAGCAAAGCCAGGTTGCCTGCCTGCCAGCTCCCTGCCCCAGGGAGCACAGACAGACGGTGGTATAAGGAACAGATTATACCCCTGAGAGCAGGAGGAACGTAGGATCCCCACTGAGGACCTGTTCTCAACACGGACATCTGTGGGTGAAATACAGCCAGCCAGCCGAAACGCTGCCGCAGTTACTGCCCAGGTGCTTCTCCTGCGACGAACTCTCCCACAACCTCTTTGGTGCTTGAGAGGAGTCCAAGATGTTCTCTTTCAGGACAAACTCAGCTTAGAGGAAACCTCTTCAGAGCTTGCGCCTTCCTTTCCTAACACAAGGATTTCCCCCACCCCTTGGACAGGGGGGCTGGACAACAGAATATCACTTATCCTCTCTTTAATTAGTGTAACTAGAAAGTAAAACATTTCTGCAAGTCTCCAAAGCTTTTACAAGGGTGAGTGTTGAGGGCACTGCAGAACTGCCTCATATATTAGGACTCCCTTCCCTTTATACATTGTTAAAGATTAATTTGCTGGGTTATGATACCAGCTAAGGAAACACAGCTGGAATTTGAGTCAATAACCCTCTAGTCCCCAGACACGTTCAGCTACCCACCCAGCCGTTCCTGCATCA